GCCTTTCGATGGGTTGCGGTTGAAACCGTAACCAGCACAGTCCTCGATAGATTTAGCCTCAGGATAGCGAAGGACGGCTTCTTGCCACTATGGCCGTCGGTTTTTCTGATTTTCATGGCAATCATCACTAGAATTGACCGACACATACACGGAACGACAGTGGCAAGTCGCCTTCTTCCATCAACAATAATTGGTCAACAACCTGAACATTAATCCTCGATGGTATTTATGCGTATATATGCTAAACATATGACCGATAAACAACGATGACGATGGCGACGGCCAAGCTGCGAAGATCATTAACCTTTGGCTGTCGGTAGGACTGACCGACCAGTGGACCATCGGAGACAAGCGCGTGAAATTATTTGCCAATTAATTGAACTTGGCGGCACCTCGTGTGACCGCAATATTTTCATTAGGCACCGAAATTATCGGAATAAATTCAATTTAGAAAAAAGAATGCCTCGACGTTCTGCAGCAGCTACCAAGAATGGCAGCCTTTCGATTCGGTCAACGTCGCTCTTTTGCCTTACGTTCCAGACGGACCGTCTGCGAACAATGACCATGCAGTTATGGTCAAATGTTTATCATTTATTCTTTGCAACCTTTTAATTCATTGCCTGCTAGAACCATCTATAGACTGATCTCATTCACACCAACTGTGCCTCATACGAATTTCTCTAATTCTTGAGAGCCGAAATCTCCGAGGGCATGAAACCAGATCGAAGAAGCCATACTAGGAGGAAACAACCCGTATAACGACATTTGTAATCTGCCCAGGAAAAAAACTAACAATAAATAGATATTGAGAGGAATGCCTATAAGTGGTACAGGTGACAGCTCTGGTAAATAGAGATTATGGTTACCCGCTACTCGTAAATGACATCTGCCCTCTCCCTGACCAAAGACTCATGAACTGCCTCACTTATCTTAATCTATTTGGTTGGATACGATTGGAGAGACGTCTGTAATAGCTGAAGGCGATTGGTACCTTGGGAAACGCTCTACGAGAAAACTGATTCGAAGAACATTCGTGGCACCTTCACTCAGGGAGCAACAGGTTTTGAAGTTGTTTTCGTTTCTCAGTCTGTAAATCGTGTGTACAAAAATGATAATACGTAGATTACTTCCACTTTCACTTTCCACGACTGCTTGTCTTCTCGAGCTCCTGAGGCAAATGCCGACCCGTCACAGACTGCTTCTAATATTTTTGATCCTAAGTCAGAGTCTGTGCTTCGTCAAAAGGCAATTGGAGTTTCGAACAGACTCCTTCGATATATTTGCACCAGGTTAATCTTGGCCGTCCCCTGGGCCTTTTGCCGGTCGGATTTGCAAGGAACAGTT